GCAGTTCTGTGTGTGTGCGTGCGCGCGCAGCAAAGGTTCTTTGTGGGTTTGTGACCCCCTCTATCTGGCCCAGGCTTATAAACTGCACGACAAACTAAACACATACGTTRGTTTGCCTCTGTCTCACAATAAATCCTTCACTGGTTTGTTATATTTTGCGCATTTGCCAAAACACACCACGAATCCAACCAATTCACTTCCTCATGAACCTTTGAATCAGGTACCAAAGCAGTGACGTAAGTTCACCACGTTCGAAGTTTTAGACGTCACTGATCACATGACTTTTACCAAACGAATCAAGCTCCAACACAGTGCTTCTGAAACAGAGTGTTGTTGTTTTTTTCTATACCTGCGCTGAAGCTTCAGCTTCAAACTGCCCATCACTAGTCCCTACCAAATCCTCACAAGTGGAACCAGGTAACATAACATGGTTAAGTAAATCCAACATTTCATTTTTTACAGTGTAGTTTAGTCAAGAAATTGAGTTCATACTGAACAAATTTAATCTGCAAGCCTAAAAAAACTTTTTTTTTCTTTAAAAATAGCTTCTGGATGACACCTGGATGTTTATTAATGTAAATGTTGCTTATACCCCTCACTTTCTCAGTCCCACCTTTTCTTTCTGATTTTACAGTTATTATTTCTTTCACATAAGTGCTACTGTTACTGTATATTTATCCTTACTGCTATAATGTGGGAGGGGGACCTGGAGTTTTCCCCCAGAAAATTTTGAATGAAGTAGGTGCTGTTTCCTGCATTCTGGTGTATTTGCATGTTGTTAAACATATTTTAAACTACATAAATAAACACTTTCATAACTATTTTAAAGACAGATTCTTCATTCAACTCAATATATGAATCATCCTTTTTGTGTCACATTGGACATTTGATTCTTTGACCAGCTGGTAGCCTAAGCAGTAGTGTTTTAATAGGGTAAAAAAAAAAACACCTGTGACTGCGTCGTGGCAGCCAGCCTTTTCTTTAGAGACGGTAGTAGGCTATGACAAGAGAACAAAAAATAAAGTTTTTTCTGTTGCTCCTTTTTAAAATATATAAATAGATTAATATATATTTTTTATTTTTACTGTCACAGCTCTAAACCTCCTTTCTATTGTCTAGGGATCGATTTTTAACCATAGAAATGTTTTTATTAACATCCCATCATGGATCCGTCGCAGCAGCAGTATTCATTTCATGTCTGGATGGGATGGATATCTACCCGCAGCAGGGAGAGACGCAGCGTGAAGAAGCCTCCTGTCAGTGCTCTGGGACCGGGGAGGAGGAGCTCTCAGCAGCACAATGCAGAAATGTGTTCATGACAGAGTCTCTCACAGTCTCAATAACACCAGAAAAAGAGTCGCTAGATTTTCACTAGTCACTTTTCTGKATAACAGTCTCTAGAGGGTCTGAAAAGTCTGTAAATATAGCGAGGAAGTCGCTAAATCATCACCGCTGTGGTCCACAACCTGCCACCTCTCATGTCAGCGAGCAGCGTGTCGGGTCAATTACGTCATAATCTGAAGCGGTCAAATTATCGTACATTATGGGATTTTTGGAATTATAGATCGTACAGAGGGCAAAATTATCGTACAAATACGATAATTATCGTACACCTGGCAACACTGAGTCGAGCCGGCCCGCTGCTTCAACCAAACTGCTCTCACTGAAAGTCCCGCCCTGCTCTGCCCTGATTGGACAAAACGGCTCTGGACTTCGTCTGATTTGTTGAAGTCAGTGTCCGTTCAATCCTTATTTCAGGGTCCCGCTCTGGCGCACAGAACAACAATCCATTCACACCAGTGCGGCTGGATTCTTTTTTTTTTTTTTTAAGAAATCAGGTCGTGTTTGCAACCACACTGGTCACACTCTAGAGCCCTGCTAGCTGTTGTTTCGATAGACAATCAGGTACGATCTTAGGTACACAAGGGAGCTTTATGACGTCCCATCTGGTGCGCTTTTTCCTTTTTTGACCGCGCAAGTGCACCTGCGCACTGCTTATGTGCAACTCTGACTATATTATATAAATAGAAGTAATAAGAGAGGTGGAGGAGTTGCTTTCTTCATACTGAAATTAAGTGTAAAATAAATTATAAAATATCAACATCATACTGTACATGATAATGTAATGGAAATAATTACAGTTGAGATATGAAACGAGATCTCTAACAGTATAATCATTAGCTGTGTATTGAACACCAGGCTCAAATATAGAAGTCTTTACAGAGAAAATCATGGAGCTCTTTGAAATAAGTTGAAATAAAACTATTTGTGTGTGTGTGTGTGTGTGTGGTGGGGGGGACTTTAATATTGATTTGGGAAATAAATCTGATTTTAAATAATTTCACTAAATTTGTAAACTCAGTGTACAGTTTGAGTCTTTATCCACTCATATCTAAACCAACAAGAATTACTACTCATATGCAACAGTTATTGACAATATTTTTACTAATGTAAGAACTGGAGAGGTAAAGAGTGACATCTAAATGATAAGCTGTCATTTGCCAGTTTTAGTCATATGCAGAAACTGTGCAGTGATACAGTGGATAGGAAAAGAGCACATAAAAAACACATAAAAAAGCTTTGGACAAACTAAAAGATGACATACAAAAACAAAGCCAGACAGCTCTCACTCGAGGTTACATGAATCAAAGTATGGCAGTTGGGAAGTGAGTTCACTGTAATCCTATGAGTTTTTTTGGTCATAGATTATGATTTCAAATGTTGAAGTATATATTTTTCGCTCTAGAATAGCGCTTGTTGCTTGCAAAGCGTGTTGATCCTCGTCTTCATCACTTGACACATTTCACACACATTCTTGGATGAGAAGCTTTAAACACGTCCACATGGTTTTTAAGTGGTTTTCATTTCCTGGCTTTCTAAGACACATCAAGTTGATTTGATGTTGCAGTTTGCTGAGCTTAATATTATTTTATACCTTTTCTGCTACTTTTGCATTGGATAAAGTTTTATTTGTTTTTAGGATATAAGATGGTTCCAACAAAAACCAGAATGTGAATCTTTTCCTAAAATTTCATGTAGGGCTGTGCGGTATATGCGATAGACAAAAATGATATGAAGTTGGCCCATGGTAGAAATTTACCCTCTACCATCCTGTCGTCAGTTACATTATCACACCTGTGTCAACATGGCTGTGAGTGCAGAGACAACTGTGCAGGAGTTTGAAATATTCTGAAAATAAATAAAGAAATGTAGCGTTTTAAAACACGTATAGACAGAATAAATCCTAAAATTTTTAACCCTCTCACTGTAGAAAAGTTACGACGTGCCATCGTGTCACGGGATCATTTCCTCCCTCCCGCTGCACATCACGCAGAGTGAAGCTTTAACAACCATAGTTTTTTCTAGGGGTGTCCCGATCCGATATTGATATCGGATATCGGTCAAATATCAACCAAGAAATGAGTATCAGATTTTATTGGCCTGCATAAAAAATCTCTGATAACAGTGCTCCGATATTTGCAGTCCGTTCCAGCAGTTCACTACCCCCATCCAGCGTTTCTATCTAGCAGCGCTTGGAGCGCATGCAGAGCCCACGTAATCACAATATGTTGCGCTCAGTGCGCTAACAAAGTAGCAAGAAGTAGGAGCAATGTCTATTTTCATCAAAGACAAATGAAGCTAAGTGCAAAATTGTCACGCACAAGTTTTCCATGGGGGCACAGAACTGTGTACGTTTCAAACCGGAGACAACCAGGCTCTGTTCTCCACTATGGCAGCAGCTATGCAATTCAGCTCGATTTGGTCTTGGTCCAAAAGTGTGTCCATGGTTCCAACTGCGCAGAACCTCCTCTCCCGTGGTTCTAGCAGGCAGAAGTGAGTACAGTATGCTTACAGTTTTGACATCAGCAGAATGCTGCCCGTGGATTACCTCTGGAATTGATTGACAGAAGAAAGGAGAGCGCAGCTTTTGTTTTGGAATATGAGCGTGCAGTTCTAAAAATTGTGCTTCCTGCAGGATCGAGAGGCTAATCTCCACATGATGCTCAGACTGTAGAAAGTGGAAATCCAGCAGGAAAGGTAGCTATCAATTTAAATAACTGACTAATTCTTACTATTTTTATTTTTTGCTCTTGTTTTTAGTGTGATGTTTAATCTATTTACACACTTGTTTGAGTGAAGATTAAGTGCAATGATCACATTGTTTTGGTTACAGTCAGTAAAATTGTACCTGTGGACTCTTAACTTTAAACAGACAATAAAGTGGGGTTTTGTTTTGTCCCCACCTTCAGTTATTCCCTCCATAAAACAGCACAAGGCTGACAGATGGTAAAAAAAAAATAACTGGAGTGACTTTGAATTGTTATTTTACACTTTAAAAGTACATTTTGTTTTTAAGTTTTGTTTTTCATGGTCTTCTAATTTACAGTATTTTATTAAATTGTATAATATTCTTCAGTTTAAAATGTATGTGATCCATTGGTTAAAAATAAATGGGTCAATTTTTCTCATACCTACTCTTTTTCACTGTTTGACTTAAAGATTTTGCACAACAACTGTCTGAGGCTAGACTTTTCTGTCTACTTCATATTAACATTAATTGACAGTCAGGGAGTGAGAGACTCAGGTTTCCATAATGACCACAATGAGCCACTGGTAGTAGCTTTATCACTTCTTTTGATTTTGCTTTTCTTTACATTTCTTCTTCAGCTCATCCATCAAAGGCTCAACGGTTTTTTGTCTGAGCTTGGATTTTTATAAAATACTGCTCCCTTCAACATTTTTTGCAGACATGTTCATTACACCAAGCAATTAAAAATATTTCCTATGTTTAAGCTGTAGTATGAATCAGTATGTTTCACAATGCCCTTGAATTTTTATTTATTGTACATGTTAATCACATTAACACCATGTGCTGGTTATAAGATGTTTCAATTTCTGTTGTTTTTTCCCCCATCAAATAAAAGTAGTTGTCAGGAAACAGACTTTTTTTCTTAAAGGGAAACATATAATTTCATAATCCAAAATTGTATACAAAGAACAACAGCGAAAAAATACATTTATTTCAAAGGAGTTATATCACAGAAAACATCAGTTTACACAGTTTAAAAACATGAAAGTAATTTCACTTCATAAATGCAACTCTTTTTTTTTCCACAAACAACATTATGTTCACATCATTGTATCTACAGATAAGTTTTCACGAACTGAAAATCAAATTTTTATTCTTCTAAACTGGTTGTTTTGACTCTGTGTTGTGAACCTGCAGGTTCCTGAAGGTAGAAGTGGCTTACAGGTGACAGACGGGTCAGTGACCACCACCCCAGTCCTGAATTTGACAGATTATTGTGAAATGAAAAAGCACAAAGTGACGATCTTAGGCTGTTTGAAAGCTTGAGCTTAATTTTAGAGCTGAAGACAGAAACCAGTTCAGAGTTAAGGTCAGCAAGTCCGGACTAGGCTTTAGGTCTATAAGTATGATTAGGATAAAACATTTTAAAAAACAATAAAGCAAATGTATTTTTACAGTAATCAGAAGGCAGATGATGAGTTTTATGTCTGTTAGTAGTCATACAGAGAGTGTGGCGTCTTCTGGGATGTGGTCTTAGTGCTGTGGCTGCTCAGGCTGATTTGACTTTGCAGACAGGGGATCTTCCTAACCATCAGCCGTTTGAAGTGATTTTGGAACTTCTTTCCCAGAAACGTGTAGAACACAGGACTGATGCAACAGTTTAAGTAAGCAATGTTCCGGCTCACATAAAAAGCATAATCTAAGTTGTCTGAGTCTGAGCAGGACTCTTCGTCTACGCTCGACTGGGACATGCGGATCGCTCGGATGAAACTGACGACGTTGTACGGCGTCCAGCAGATAAAGAAGGTGAAGATGATGACAAAAATCAGTTTAATGGTGCGGCACTTCCCCTTCATGCGGGTGGACAGTATGCGCACCGTGATGCTGATGTAGCAGTACATCACCATTATTAGAGGGATGAGGAAAAAGAGCAGGAACTGTTGGTAGTAGCTGAGCAGGCGCCAGCGTTCCATGGTGCTGGCTGATAATCCAGACTCTTCACACAGCAGACCATCGACTGGGCTTTGCCACACATTTCGAAGGACCAGCTCTTTCACACTTGCTGCGATGCTGATGCACCAAACGACCACAGAAGAAATGACGGCATACACCATTTTCCTGCTCTTTGTAGCTGCCACCACGTGCACCACTGCCAGGTATCGGTCAAAGGTCATGAGTGTGAGGAAGAGGATGGAGCTGTAGAAACCTATAAAGTAGGCACTACTGACCATTTTACACAGAGCCAGGCCAAAAATCCACTCAGAAAGATGGTACGTGGCCCAAAAAGGCAGGCTTGAGGCAAAGAGAAGGTTGGAGAAGACCAGATTCAGGAGGAAGATGTTTGTCACTGTGTTCAGCTTCTCATACTTGCAGATGATGAGCAAGACGAGCCCGTTTCCAATGGAACTCAGGAGGAAGTTGACGTAGTAAAACACTGGGATGAATTTTGCACCAAACTGGTTGACAGATTGTTTTGTGCAGAGCTGAACCGTTTTACTGACGACATAACTGGGCTCAGTCGTGTTGGATATTTCGTTGAGCAGATCAAGGAAGAGTTTATACTGATAATCATCATCATCGTTCATGGCTGATGTTTTACCTGAGAACAAATTACAAGAACGATCTGTGTTAGACAAAAATGTTTTAGGTCAGGCAAGTAAAAATATAGGAATGGTTAAGTCCTGATCTAAAACATGACTTTTACTGATGCCGATACAGAAAAGAACAAATAAACCAGGCCTAGAGGCAGAGTACTATAACAGTTGCTTTTAAAATGATTAATGACAATACTGTCGCTCTTGATAAGAAGCAGTACTGTGTGTCTCTCTTTGAGGATTTGTCAATTCCATATTTGATGGTGTAGACCATGAAGTCATGATAGACAGGCTATGGGACTCTGGTTTTTCAGAACAAGCTGTCACTTGGTTCACAAATTATCTCAGGAATAGGACACAATGTATTAAATATGATCATTTGTGTTCTTAAGTTGTAACAGTTTATGAGGGGGCACCACAGGGATCAATATTAGGTCCCCTTCTATTCATAATTTACTCAGACAATTTAACTATTACAAAAAGCCTTTTCTTCTATCCAGTGCTATTTATTAAATGCAAAACATTCCTAACACAGATAAAACTAAACAGATGTATTTTTCCAGATCCAAAGCACCATAACACCCCCCCCCCCCTGTTCTATTTTAGTGGAAATGAAATAGAGCTGGTTCATACGTATAAATACTTAGGCATTTTGATTGATGATTCCCTCACTTTCAAACCCCATGTGGAACGTCTTATGAAAAGGCTTTTATTTCTGAAATAAGTTGTGTTTTTCACATATTGGTAAAAAGCGGCTTGTCTCTGCAACTTTTATGTCTGTGCTGGACTATGGAGATCTTGCTTCCTCACAATGTTGTAAGATTTTTGAACGTCTACCACTCTTCTCTGAGGTTCATTACAAATTTTAAAGTGTCAACACACCATTGTGATTTGTACTCACTGGTAAAATAGCCTGATCTGGCTACCTGAAGGAAAACCCACTGTTTTATTTACAAGGCACTACTTGGACTCCTGCTGGCATATATTTGTACTGCAATTGCACAGAGAAGCTTTGACTCGTATACTTCTCGCTCACACAATTTGCTGCTTCTTTCTGTCCTTTTTGTTCGGACTGAATTAGGTGACTCCCTCTTCATGGATATTATTACAAAAAACTTTTGAATTCACTGAATGCATCTATTTTTGTGCTTTTAAATCTAAACTAAATGTTCTTGAGACCAATTATACAACACCTGTATTTTATAGCTTGACATTTTCTTTTAACTGTGTATTTTTCTGTGTTGTATTTGTTGCTGCCTTTTGGCGTGCCTCAACAGAAACAAATGAATCATCTGATTTTGTAATAGTTCCTGTTAGTGCAATGATTCATGTCCAGTTTGTTATATTCTTATGGTTTTCTTGTCCCCCCCACTCCTAAATAGAGAACAGAAACAGCTGATGGAGCCGGAAATTTCACAGTTCTTGTAACAATTGTGTAATACTGGTTCCTTTTTATTCTAACATATTCAACTCATTCTGTTAATTTTTTTCCCCTAAAATAAGATTTTATTTTATTTTTTTTTTGTTGGTATGTAGAGACAAGAGGCAACAACACAGGTTTATGATTAACTGTGTGCAAAAACTGCTTATTTCACTTCTTACTTTCCTTTTTTTAATAGTTGTAAAAGTTTTTAATATAATTATTACTGAAGTTGTATTTTGCTTTTTTTAAATAAAATATTGACTTAAAATCTGTTGCAAATCACAGCAGTTTACCCACTGGACAATTATAAAAAGTTTGAAGACAAAACTTGCAAATGGCCCGGTAAGAATGAAGCAAGCTAAAAGCTAAAAGTAGGATCAGAAAATTAAAAGAAAGTCAGTTGAAGCAGATTTGAAAAGAATAATATGGTTGAAGAAAATTAAGAGCTGTCAATGGAGGTGAGTAAATTGAGCAATATACATATTTTCTTTTAAATAAAATATGTAAATTGTTTCATATTTACTCTATTGGTTTAGTGGAACCAGTTGACAGGACTTGATTGAGTAAATTCAATACTTCATTTTTTGAAACAAGTTCTTTTTTTGGTGAGTTCGAAGATATTTAATTTTGTAATAAGTAACTAGGTGTTAAAATTTAAAGTATAGAAGTAAAAGTATCATTTTTAGGTTTTAAATGTAACAAAACAAAAGTAAAAGTAATGATTTAAAGAAATTAAAATGACAAATCCTCAAAAAATTACGTACTGTAACAAAGTAAATGTACTTAGTTACGATAAATCTCTGCATAATTTACACATTTTATATGAACTGCATTTTTAGTTAGATGAACATATAAACAATCAAATTTCTTTAACTTAATTTAATTTTTCTTTAAGACAATCTGACAGCACCTCTTCTTAAACATTGTTTAGACTGAACTTTTTTAACATGTGAAGAAAAACTGTGAAAAACCAACATGTTAAATGTGTGTAGTGTTTGGTTCAACTCACCTGTTTAGCTCTGCAGTGGAACACAGAATCTAGCACTGAGACTCGGGACGACAGGTTCTCATGTCCCCTGGTCCTGACTGCTGATGATGGTGATGACATCATCATCATCTCAGAGGGCTGTCCAATGTCCTGCTAACATGATGCATGTCTTTATGGTGGTCACAGCTTGTGTAGCAGCTTACAAATAATTCAGGCTTTACCTTTTGTTTCTTTGTTTGCATTAATAAAATAACCCTGCATCCTTAAACCCAACATCTCATCTCATTTGTGTTGACACAAGAAAAATACTTGATATTTTCTTACAGGCTGGAATATTTACCTCATTGAGTCGTCAGTGTAAAGCTGGGAACAGTTTCTGTACAATAAATAAATCCTACTGTGAACAACTGCAGGATCTGTTGAACCAACTCCAACCACCTGAAAGCAGCATCTCTTGTGTGGAAAACAGTTTGAAGGGTAAAGAAACACTGTGTGATAAATCTGATGCTTCCTGTTCACCGTCTTCTCTTCCTCAGGGGCTGTTGGCAACGCAGGTTGGATCTGGTGGTAGTCAGATTCGGCTTTTGTCTCAGCCAACCCTATAGCAGGGTTATTATAGATAACTTTAACTAAATAACGAAAACAGAAATTAAAAAACATTTTAGTTAACTGAAATAAATAAAAATGTAATAAACAAAACTAACTAAAACTAACTGAAATAATATACAGAATATCCTTAGTTTTAGTGTTTGTTAGTTTATTTCGAGCTGTGTGGACTGATTAATCTTTTTTTTTCTTCAAATTGAGCAGTTTCACATTAACTGCGGGCAGCTTACGGCACATCATGGTCCATAACACCTGTTTACAGTCTGCTGCTGCTCAGAGCTCGCCTGCAAAATGACGACAACAAAAGTTGGGAGACAGTATCATCTGATATGAGATTTCTTTGAAAATGACTGTGAGAAAATTAAAAGCGTCTTGTGGTGGAAACAGGTAATACTTCTCAAGGGACTAATTAACTGAGTGTCTTGTCTAGTTAGCTTCTCTTAGTTCCCATGAAAAACAAGCTGTAGCCCAGCCAGGTAGCACCAGGATCTAGACAACTAATCAACTTTTTTAAAACAATTGCCCAAGTCCTTTGTTGACAAAATTGAGTTACGGGATTATTTTAGGAAGGTGTTGCTATAATGGTCTGCTTTGACTGATGATCAAAAAGCTGCTGGTTAGTTAACTCACAGGATCACTTCAAGCAGGAGGATGCATTGGCAAATATGTTTATTCAAACTACAGAAAACAAAACAAAACAAAAACAACTAATACTAGAACTAATAAAAACTAAACTAAAACTAAGCATTAAAAAGCAATAATACTAAGAACTAGCAAATCCACACTA